GGAAAAGATGAATAATTCATTTTGGAATCAAATCCTTTTTCCTTTAGGAGGGTTTAGATATTCAGAGTAAGAATGGAAAGAAATAAATCTAAACTCCAGAGCTCCTGACTAAAAATACTATGAATTGTGGTTAAGTGTACTGATTTCTGTTTTTGTTTTTTCCTAATTTAGCATAGTTCTACTTTGCAGTGGCTCTGGATTTCTTCCATGCTATGTAATGGTACAGTTAAACACAGCTGAGTCTTCTAGGAAAACGTCTGGGACCCAAATCGGTGTCTTACTAGTTTTCACCTGTGTGCAAAGTGCTGGAGACAAAAGGGTCATTTCTAAGAGAATATATAGAAGTTATATGGAAGTTCTGTTTGTCCCGATTCACAATAACTTATTTGCTGTATATTTTAAACTGTTCTGCATTTTTCAAAAACATTTCTAACATTCTTTCCAAAAGTCAGCACTGTAAAGTTCTCTTAGGTGGTGTGACTTCAGAATTGGTTTGCTTGAGATAACCACACTTCTCATAAAAGAGAGCAAAAGACCGAGAATTTTCTCTCTATTCCGTTCACAAAGGTAGAATTGAGTTTTAGCCTTTAATCCAAAGGATTTTAGAAGTTAACCTATCTCCAGCATCGCAATCTTACTTATAAGTGTTGTAATCCTTAGCTAATTGGTTCTTGTTCTTGTTTCGTATTTGTGTAAATCAGCCAGAGGGGAGGAGTGCAGTCTTGTCTCTGATTAGCTCCCTCTCTGCCTGGCTTGCTTATCAATTCATGGGATCTAGAATACAAGATACATCATTAAAATCCAGAGCACCATTCTCTTAATCCATAGTGTTTGTTCCATGCCTCATTCACTGCAAAAATGATGAGTTCTAAAAAAACTGATGCTTCACGTAAAGTTTGTTCGTAATTCAGAATTAATGAAATGTGTTCCTTTTAAAATGGATTTAGATAATTAAGTGGAACTGGGGATAATTACTAATTTCTGAACCCATCCTTTTCCTTACTGTGGTATAAAAGCACATCTGGCTCCTACTGAAAAATCGAATAGAAATTTAGGCAACGAAAGGGTAGGATTATTCTTTGAGACCATTCTTTGAGGATAGGTATGAGAAGATAGATTTTGGCTGATAATTAGTGTGAAATTTAGACAGAAAACGGTTCTGAACTGCTAATATCAGCTAAGTGCCAACAGCTGTTTTTCAAATTGTGTTACTATACATAGTGAATTTAACTGGAATGGAAATAAGGACCTATTACAATGTATTGTTTATCTTAATACTGTTAAGGCAGAGCGTTGCTGTTTTCTACAATTTTGGAGAATGAAAGACCAGAACATCAATGGCAGCATACAGTGCATTCTTGAGTATTGCAAAGGCTGCACCTGGCTGTCAGCACTCCTTGACAATAAAGGTTTATTTTGTCAGATCTCTGGAATCTGTTGCCCAGAGGGTTTTCCTAAGACAGATGAGATTTCTTTACAAAAAACCATCTCACTTCTAGAGAAAGCAAGTGTTCTGAGAAATGAAGGAGTAGAGATTTCACTTAAAACTTGAATTTTGAGACTTGCTGTGGCACTAACACAATTTGGACAAAAGACTGTTTTGTTTTTAGAGAATTATTTATTTAATTTTATTTATTTTTCACTTTGACCAAAGAGCAAGTTAGCTAGCAAGCCACCAGGTCCAGAATTGGAACCACAGTTGGCCATGTCGGGAGTTCAGTGCCTTAACCACCACGCCACTTGTGGGACCCTACCCCCCCCCTTTTTTTTTTTTTTAAAGATTTTTGTCATAGGGTGTGTGAACTCCCCAGAGAGAGAGAAAGAGAAACAGTGAGAGGGAAAATGAGAAATCGCCCTCCATGAGGGGCTGGCCATGCCGAATTCCCTTCTCCACTTTCTTCCTGGGATCTTGAGCATACACATACATGCACCCAGCATGAGTTTCAAGCTGCCGGGTCCAGATTTCAACAGTAGTCAGCCATGTGGGAGTCCAGCAACATAACCTTTACACCATCTGCTGATCCTACCAAATAGTTGTTTTTGTTTTGTTTTGTTTTAAGAATTATTTATTTAGTAGTAGTATTTTTTAACTTGGTATAGTCATCATAGAGAGAGATAAGGAAAGTGGCAAAGCAAGCTACCAGGTCCAGGACTTGAACCAAGGTTGGCCATGTGGGAGTCCAGAGCCTTAACCACCATACCACCTGCTGGTCCCCACCAAATAGTTTTTAAAAATTATTTTCATCCTTTGTAGGATTTACCCATTATTTTGTTGTTGTTTCTTAAAAAAAAAAAAAAAAAATTGCTACAGAGCACATGTGCTTGCTGAGGGGTGGAAGAATGGCCGCACTGCAGTCCCTTCTCCATTCTCCTCCCAGAATTTTGGGTGGGCAGGTACGTGAACCTGGGTTCAGGTCTTGAACTGCGTGGTTGACTATGTGAAATCCAGCACCCTTAATCAGCACGCCACCTGGCTGGCCCAATTTTTTAAAGAATTATTTGTTTATTTTCTATAGGGCAGACATACTCATTACAGAGGAGGGTGGGTAAGAAAGCTAGTAGCTAGGTCCAGAACTCGAACCTCCATCAGTCCTGTGGGAGTCCAGTGCCTAAACCACCTGTCACCCACTGGCTCTCCCTTTCCCCCCTTAATGGCAATAGGGCACATGAACTTGCAGGAGAGAGAGAAAACTCACTCTCTGTGAGGGACAGCCATGCCACAGTATCTTCTCCATTTTCCTCTGGGGATTTTTGGGCCCGTACCACATGTGCCGACATGGTTCTCAAGCCACCAGGCCAAGGACTCAAAGAGTGCGGTCAGCCATGAGGGATCCAGCCTTAACCTCCATGCCACTGGCTGGCCTACTAATTTTTTATTTTAAAGTTTTATTTTATTTTTTCCATGAGCAAGAGAGACAGCACCCTTGATAGGATCTCTGCTGCTCAGTCAATCCCCAGCCAGCTCTGGGTTATGGGCACATGCAAGCCCATAACCCAGAGTACAGGGTAGGTCTTTGGACACTAACTGGTAACCTGCGAACCTTTCTGTTTTGGTCAGCCTTGGGAAGTGTCATACTTCACTGCCATATCACAGTCTGCCTGCCAGTCCACCAACCCCTTTATTATTATTATTATTTTTAAAAGGGTTCTTTCTGGGACCAGCAGTTAGCGTAATGGCTATGTCACTGAACTTCCATGTAGTCGACTGCGGTTCGAGTCCCGGACCCAGTGACTTAAACTCACACCGGGCACGTGTGTGTGTGCATGTCCACGATCCTGAGAGGAGAAGAGATTGCGATGTGGCCATCCCCCCTGGGAGGTGATTTCTTGCTTTCTCTCTCTCTGTCTCTTTTTGGCGAGCGCACACGCCCTATAGCAAAAACCTCTCTCTCTCCAGGAAAAAAAAAAAAAAGATTCTTTC